ACGAATAGCAAAAAGATTCATTGGGCACCTTGGGATAAACTCACTTTTCCTAGTTCTAAAGGTGGCCTAGATATTCGAAATTTGAAGGATGTGTTTAAAGTTTTCTCTGCAAAACTTTGGTGGCAATTTTAGACTTACAGTAACTTATGCACACAGTTTATGAGAGCCAAATATTGTAATAGCCAAATTCCTCATACGATCATGACCAAAATACATTACTCTTTTACATGAAAGAGAATGTTTTTTGGGAGAGACAAATTTGGGCAGCACATAAGGTGGAGGCTCAATAAGGGTGAATTATTTTTTGGCATGATGTGTGGTTGGGAGATGAACCACTGGTAAACTTTTTCCCTGCATTTTCTCATTCCATGGTTAAAGTTAATTATTTCTTTTATGAAAATGAGTGGGATGTGAATAAGCTTAAAACTGTATTCCAGATACTATTGTTAATGAGATTCTGAAGGTTCTTATTAGCTATACCCAGGCGGATTTGGCATATTGGGCGATCAAATCGGATGGTGATTTCACTAGCAAGAGTGCATGGGAGTCACCAAAAACACCCTATTCACCCGTTAGGTAAATTTATTTGGCATATGAGCATACCACTTATTGTTTCCTTTTTCTTATGGCAACTGGTGCATAATTGAATTCCTGTGGAGCTACGGTTGAAATCAAAAGGCTTCCAGTTAGCATCTAAGTGTTTGTGTTGCCGATCGGAGGAGACGATTATGTATGTATTATGGGAAGGTCCGATCGCACAACAGGTTTGGAATTACTTTGTAAAATTGTTTCAAATTTATGTTACTACTCCCAGAATTGTTCTGCAAATTATTCATTCCTAGTATTATTCTAGAGATTATACTAAACCTGGTCATATTAGTACTATTGCCTTTATTGATCTATTGGTTTCTTCGGGTTGAGAGAAATGATGCAAAGCATAGGAATCTTCGAATGTATCCTAACAGAGTTATATGGCAGATTAAGAAAATGTTATGGCAACTTTCTCAAGGTAAAATATTACGTATATGGCAATGGCGAGGTGATCTTGATATTGCTATAAATTGGGGTTTCAAGTTTACACGAAAGACCCTTGATCCGTCAAAAATTATTTACTAGTATAAACCATCGATAGGTGAATTTAAGTTGAATGTTGATGGTAGTTCCAAAGATGCCTTTTAGAATGCTGTTGGTGGAGGTGTCCTTAGGGATCATACAAGTAATATGATTTTTGGCTTCTCTAAAAATTGTGGACCTTATAATTCATTGCAGGCGGAATTAATGGCACTACATCATGGTTTGCTTTTATGTATTGAGTATAATGTATCTAAAGTTTGGATTGAAATGGATGCGAAAGTGGTAGTACAAATGATACATGAGGGACATAAAGGTTCCTATCAGACTCGATACTTGTTGGCCTCGATTCGCAAATGCTTAAGTCATTTATCTTTCTAGATTTCACACATTCATAGAGAAAGGAACCAGGTTGCAGATCATCTCTCCAATCTAGGGTATACACACCAAAATCTGCAAGTATTTTCACAAGCCACAAGTGAGCTCAAAGGAATCCTTAGATTAGATAAATTAAATTTACCTAATGGTTGTTTTAAATAAATGTAAAGGAGTAGTACTCCTAATTTTCTTTTCTATTTTTTCTTTTAATTATTTGTAACAAAGTAGCATTGCTCTCCATATGCATTACTACATGATTTATAACTTAAGTAATAATTATGATGATTGTTGAATGTTTTAGGTGCTATTGAAACTCCAAGGAATTTGTTGGAATGAAATCTTAATCGTTGGTAGAGGTCGAGTATTTGAAGATGAATGGGTACACCTTTTCAAATATTTTATTATATAAAGCTATTCACGATTTATCGAATTGATTGTCTTGCATGACTTAAATGCTATTTTTTAATGATATATCAAAATGTTTTTAAAGAAGTTTTCAAATCTACTATGTACATAAATATCCTAATATATATTATTTTTCAACAAAGAGAGACAAGCCCTTTCAAATGATTTCCTTCTAAATGGGTTCAAGATAGTATGATGAACATGAGGTGGATGTAAATATTCCCACCCATAAACCTATGAAATGATTATGTGAAAAGTAGATAAGCATGTAATGTATGAATTTGAGATTTGTATGCATTGTAGTACCACACACCTTAAATGATAAGCATGAATATGAGTATGAAATGTAGTGAAATTTGTGAGATGATTAAGTTAAAAGTTAGTAAATGATAAATTATATCTATTTATGAAGGCCAAGATGTGGGGCATTGTACCACACACAATTCTGTATAGTCATGAGTTGGGATAGAATTCCACTTAATTTATGAGCTCATAGTTATACATAACCATGAGTCGAGGCAAAATACCACTTACAGCAATTCAAGATAATAGGGATTTGTACCCTATCCATCATGAGTTAAGACGGACTACCACGTACAATAATCCAAGATAGTGGGGCTTATACCTTATCCGTTATGAGTTAGGGCAAACTACCACTCATAGTAAATCCTAGACAGTAGGGATTGTACCATTATCTTTGGTAGGTTTCTAGATTGAATTTTAGTATGAGTAGAGATGTTAGATTGTAGAAAGAATTTGTAAAAATTATGATTGTGAATTTGATGGTAGGTAGTTGAGAATATGATGAAATATGGCCTAGTTTAAGTGAATCTTAAGTTGCATGATTGTCCCTAAGTATAAAAATTTATAGTAGAGTTAGAAAGTGTAGAAAAATACCTAGAATTTGAGTTTTATGAATGAAATATTGATACTTGAAGAACAAGTATCAATACTTAGAAGACATAATGCCCTATAAAGTATTCTATGTAGAAAGTATTAATACTTTCGATGGTCCTCACCTATCATACGTTTGCTTTATGGATGATCTGATGCTATTTGGGGTAGCATCGATAAAACAGGTTCAAGTTATAGCGAAAGTCATTGATGAATTTTGCTTAGCTTCAAGCCAAAAGGTGAGTTTAGAGAAATCTAGATTGTTGGTATCTTCGAATGTTAGCTTGTCAAGAACAAGAGCTCTGAGCATTATTGTGAAAATTCCTTTGACTAAGGACTTTGGGAAATACCTTGGAACCCTAGTATTCCATGGTAGAGTATCAAAGGACACACGCTAAGTTTATCACCTAAGTCAAGACCAGACTTGAACATAATAGTAATAAACAGCCATCAATGGCAGGCAGAGTGGCGTTGGTGCAGTCTGTAACAAGTAAAATGGCTACATATTTGATGCAAACCTAATTCTTACCAGAAAATGTGATACAGGAGATTGAAAGAATGAATAAAAACTTTGTATGGGGACACTTTGGCGGTAACAAAGAATGTCATAGCATAAGTTGGGAAAAACTTTGTTCATCTAAAGAAGAAAGAGGATTGCAACTTCGAAACTTAAGACAATTCAACTTAGCCCTATTGGCGAAACTTGGGTGGAGACTGTTAATGGACAAAGATTATCTTTGGGTTGACATTTTAAAGAAGAAATATCTTAGAGGATGTAACTCCATGGCAGTATGTGCAAAATCATCGGATTCTTATGTGTGGCGGAGCATATTGAAAGGGAGAACTATTTTGGAAAAAGGCTTAGGAAAAATTATTAATAATGGTCATATAACGAGATTTTGGGTGGATTCATGGCTTGATTGTGGACCTTTGATCAACCATGCAAGTGGGGACATTTCAGAGATGGAAGCTAGCCTACCGGTTGTATGTGTTTGTGATGAAAATGGACAATGGAATCTGGACCATCTTAACCAACTCCTGCCACTGCACATTGTTTTTAGAATTGCAGCAGTGCTAATAGATCCCAATAGTGATATAGGGGATGTTAGTGTATGGACACTCACAAGTAATGGCGTTTTCACGGTCAACTCAGCTTATAAAAGCCACAAGTAAGTACTGGTATTAATACTAATTTCTGGAAAAATATTTGGAGATTGCCTTGCACCAGGAAAGCACACCTATTCATATGGAGGATCTTGCAAAATTTTTTGCCAACTGGGTCTTGGCTTTCAAGTAGAAATATGAGATCTACGAGCATGTGCCCGAGATGTGACATCCATGAGGAGACAATTATGCATTCGGTTAGAGATTGCAGCCAGGTGAAGAGCTTGTGGAATCGCATAAAGCCATCTTTCATTCAAACAAATTTTTTCAATATGGAGCTGAAACAGAGGGTGACTTCTAATGCATTGAATACTGTCGAGGTTGACGGTATTCCATGGAATGTAATTTTCATTCATGTAATATGGCTATTGTGGTATTAGAGGAATCTGCAATTGTTTAATGATTCTTTTGTTTGGCCAAATAATGATTGGAAACACAGCTAGACCAAATCAAAAGAAGCATGGGACATCCTGGAAAAACAAGGTAACTGAATCAAGCACGAGGTGTTGATAACTAGGACATAGCCAAGTCATTCTTTTGTCAAACTCAATGCGGATGGTAGTGCTCTAGGACAACCAGGTTTAGCGAGTGCAAGTAGCCTTGTTAGAGATGAAAACGGTTACTGGCTTGCTGGATGTGCAGATAATATAAGGATCTCTTTTTCACTATCAATAGAATTGTGGACTTTATATCAAGGATTAGAATTATGTTAGAACAGAAGGTTGAGATAAGGCTCTCTTTTTCACTATCAGTACAACTATGGACTTTATATCAAGGACTAGATTTATGCTGGAACAGAAGATTTAGAAAAGTTTCACTAAAAACTGATTTCTTCTGGTGTTTCAAAAAACTTCAAGGGAGATCTCCAATTTGGATTTTATGCTTAATATACTGAAAAGAATTAAAGACTTTTTATAAAGGGCCTGGGATTGCTTTATACTCACGCATATCATAAAGCCAATCATGCGTGCAAATTTGTTGACCACACACCATGAAAATTTAATATTACGCTTCCATGTATTGATTGCCCCCCATCTAATATTTCTAATTCTTTATCTGAAGATATGTTGGGTATTGCTGGTCACGGATGATGTAATTGTTTTAAATTAATGTATTTCCCTCATATAAAAAAATTAATACACCAAGCAGAAGACAAAACTGTCCACACTGTAGCAATCCCCCCTTAACCCTTCAACCCTAACTCTAAGAAGCCGCTTTCCTTGAATTATCAGACCATAGGGCTGCATCCAACAGGTCCAAGAGATGCCATTAGCAGGATCATGACCAGCATTGAACTGAAAATTGAACAATATAAATGCAAGACATGTTCACCTCCTGCCTCTCCTTCCTCTCCCACGCCCTCTACCCCGGCCTCCAAACATTGATCTATCTGGCTTCAGACCTAATGACTGAACTCCTCTCTTCTCACGCCGAGTCAATTTCTCCTCATCCTCCTTGTATTTGGCTGAACTTCTAGAAATAAAAGAAATCTGTCGTGAGCCTCCTGGCCCCAACTTCACGTCACTTGGTAAACCCGACACCTGCTGGTCATCTTGAAGAGCCTTCACCCTCTCTCCCATAGGGAGAGAATCTTCCTTGGCAAGTGAAACATTATTCCAAAATGCTTCTGCATGCCGCTTATCTTTAACTTCGTACATTCTGTAGATTTTTAAGAAAAAAACAAAAGAAGATGATTAGCAAGGCAAAAAGCTATCACTTCCAAGAAGATGGCATATTCAATATCAATAACTCATACAGACAAGAAAGACCTCACCTTGGACCTTGTGACTTCTTTCTTTTACTCTTATGATTGACAGGAAAGTCATCTGATGATTGCGATGCTTCTAAGACATCAGAATCACTTGTAATCTGATCCTTGTTATCCATGACAGGTTCAAAATGTTCCTCAACCAAAGATGGTTGCTTCTTGGAAGCCATTGGATGTAAAGCAAGAAACTCTTGTGATTGCTCATCAATTTCATAGTCCTGGATATGAATAAGGAGAAGCATCAAATGATGATAGCAGTTAAGATCCATAAGTAAGCACATGACACATCATAAACCCCATCTTCCATGATTGAAGTGACATGAAAATGATCAATTGATGCCACCAGTCATATCAAGGCAGCACATGAAACATTTTTGCTACAACTTATCCAAGGTATAGATAATTGAACAGCAGATAAATCACTACAACCAGCAAAAACAAACTCAAAACTCACCAATATCTGAAGGGCATATTACAATCTAATTATAGCTAAAACACTTCATTCTTAGATGTTCTTGATCCTATGACTACTTTTCAACTGGGATAACAAATCAAGGTGATTTGAATTGGCCACCACAAAGATGTGGAAAATCAAAAAGAGACAGAGAAAAAGGTGCAAGATGAAACCAAAAACTACTAGCACAGCAAATGAACAAATTATCATACCTTATTTTCAAACATTTGGGTAAATCGATCATCTTTAAATATCTCAGTGCTAAGTGCATTTTTCTTCCTCTTTGAAGTTTTCTTGCTCTCATTACCATCATTGTCTTTCTTTTCATTTTCAGCTTCTTCATTCTCCAAGATTCGCTCTGCAAGATCTTGATTAACCTTAACCTTGGGTAATTTTCTCTTCATCTGCAAGAAAAAGAAAAGAAATATATAAATGGAATCAACCAAATGTAGATTAACTCTATATTGATTTATAACAGGCATATCAGTGAGGAAGCCTGAGAAGCTTCAAAGATCTCTTCTTGAGAAGGATGCAGTATTTAAGAAAGAAATGAGTTTTAAAACAGTACTTTAGTAGAACGCCAAAACTTTCATTTGCCACCATGTTTTTGCATATAAGCTAAACTTTGGTATCTTTAACAGTCAAGAAAAAAGAAAAAGATGCCTATAATATTTACAAATCTTTACTCGCCAACAAGTTAGTGAAGAGAATTATCAATTGCCAAACCCTCCCTGCCCATAGCAGTCAAGTTTTTTATTTCTTTGTATTAAGAAATGATTTGACACTGAAGGCATTGTTTATGCTAGTTGAGTTTCAAGTTTAAAATACTAGCAGCGAACAACATCAAGAAGCATAGGTTGTTTAGAAGTTATGATAACTTAATCTGCAAGATAAATCATAATGTACAAAAATTATCTGACTTTTCTAAGCAGATATATATGGAAAATTTATCCTATACATTGACAGTGGAGTTTTTGGACTCCGCCAGCATGGTTAGGGGGTTGACTAGTGTCCTAGTAAGGCATATTTATGAAAATCAATAAAATAATTAATTATTAAATTTATCTAACCTACAAAAGAAGTCTAAAACACAATCCCAAGTCAGAATTCTGCCACTAGACAATTACAAGACCTACAAAACGATATAAGTTCCAGCACAGTAAACATTTCCCTTCCTCCCCCCTCTTCTTTTCTCATTTCTTTTCTCTTCTTTCCAATCTTTATCCTATATCAAAATACCTGAACCAAAAACACTCATTTCAGGAATGAAAATACTGACCGTTATACGATTGTGACGCTCAGCCTCCAGTTTTTCTTGTTTTCGTTGCTCTATGTAAGTTTCATATGCAAAAGGATCTGCCAATGATTTTGCCTGCAAATATATGTAAAAGATAAACATTAAAACAGCAAAAAAGTGAAAGACAAAGTAAAAGATAACTACATTGAGCATAAAAACCATGATTTGTGCAGCAAATATCAAAATCAACACCAAACATTCCTTTTTCTCTTTCCTGAATTTGGTCTGGCAATTCTGACCGCATTTGTGCTTTGTGCATCTTATTTCTGTGCTTCACAATATTTCATGTTTCACACCCAACCACACACATTTCCCAGCAGATGGCACAAATGCAACTTTATATTGAGTTTTGTAAACTGCATAATATCCTTAACAAAAACAAAAATGAAAAGAAAAAGCAGTCTCACCTTTTTGTACAACCGATAGTCAATAAAGAACCCATGCATGTATGCTCGCAGAAGATTGGTCCCAATTAGATTTGTCAGATTCAATTTCTCAAGTTCCTCTTTTGTCAGAAATTTATAATTGTCATATATGCTTGTTTGTCCACCCTCCTCAAGCTCTTCCTGTAAATATATGCAAAGTAAGCATCAGCATTATATCTCCAGAACCCAACTACAGCACATCTAACTAAACAACAGAATGAAAGAAGGATACGGCTTAAAAACACACCGTTAGAGATTCCAACGAAGAACACCACTTCGGAACAGGTCCCAGAGCAGGAATGAAATAAGCAGGTATCTGGCTGCTATCCAAAGCCAGTAGCATAAGCCCACTATCATTGAACACACAGATATCATTGATAGCCCCAGCTGTTGGTTCAATGCTAGTCATACCTTCTTCCTTGACAAAGGAAAAATCACTCAAAAGTTAGATTAAAGTTTTGACATTGACACAGAGACAGTACTCTACCACTACTAAGGTACAATATTGCACACCATAAACACATATCACATGAATATGGTTGTACATGAACATGCTTTTGTACAACATTGTGTGTACAATGAATTCATACACATGTTACGTCCTCAAAAGAAAAAGAATTCTTATGCATGTATGTAGAAAAGTATCCAATATGCATATAAGTAGACCTGTGAGCATGCATTACTGCATGGTATAACAGTTCCATACAACACCGATATACCTCTAATAACTGAAATACAATAATGATGATGATACTGAAAATGACTGACGATGATCTGAAGAATTGTCTGATAATATAAGCGATTCTTATTTATTTTTTTGTGCACATATGATCTTCAGCTATGCAATGAGAGG